AGTAAAATCCATCATTATCCTACCCATATATTACAGAAGGCAGAGCTGGGAAAGAGAAGACTGAGACATGATAAATCTTTAAAGGGATGTCATGTAGAAGATGGAGCGAGCTTGTTTTCTGCTGCTCCACAGACCAGAACATGATGAGAATTGCTTTGTGCAATTTAATGGATTTAAACTACAAGAAAAGAGATTCCACCTAAACATTAGGAAGAATTTCCCGACAGTCAGAGCTGTTTGACAATTGAACATGCTGCCACAGAGTGTGGTGAAGTCTCCTTCTTTGGAAGTTTTTAAACAGAGGCTGGAATGGATGGTCATCTGCTGAGGGTGTTTTGATGGTGAGTTCCTGTATGGCAGAATGGGGTGGACTGGATGGTCCTTGAGGTCTCCTCCAACTCTATGATTCTAGACTGTGAAGACCTGCAAAGTAGGCCAGTGTTATACAAATCTTGCTCTGGGGAGTTATGAGTGTTCAATGACAACCCTATAATATAGCCCACTGTTCTTAGTTTCTTGGTGCAGTTTGTTAAGAGATAAAGGAAAGTTACATGGGGTGAAAGGAGTCAGGGAGAAAAAGCGAAGATATATCAACTTCTGATGGAGAAAAAAATATTCCAAAGGCTAAGTCTGTTCATTAGGACACAACATAGCAGTATATATTTCTCAAATAACATTTCTCATTCCCTCTCTGTGTCTCTCCAGCTTTTAGTAGCACCTGGCATTGATAATAAGAGTCTTGTAGGATGAAAAGCATATCTGGTAGCTACCTGGATGAGGTAAACAAAATGATTGTACAGCCTAACCTTGGATAAACAGCAAATGAGAACTACTTGGAGATTGCAGAGCAATGCAATTGTGGTTTCTAGCAGGCAGAAGTAGCTTGTTAGGGTTTTAAGGAGACTGCTTTGGCTTTGGAGGATAATAATTGCTTTGAGAACAACAGTGCCTACCTGCCTAAATGCCTGATGGCTAACTTGTTTGCTACCTGCTCAGTCTATACATCTGAAAGTCCACAGATATTACAAGACATCACTGAAGTCCAGTGTTCTTGCTATTCCAAAACAGTTTTTCCCGGTAAATTAGCACCAAAATTGTGTAGCACATTCGAGAATAGGAAACACACCACCATATATAGAATCTAGAATGAATTTCTCATGTTTCCAAATGCCTGCTTACAGAAACCAGTGGTAGAAAACAAACAACAACATTTCCCAGCTGGTAGAGGCCAGACGCCTCTTTGCTGTTGACAAGAAGGGAGAAAAATCCAAATAATTCTAGCTGGAGTAAACACACAACACAGAAATGAAGTGCCTAGCAACAGAACAAATGCATGAAACCAGTTTTCCCAGTACCCAGACTGCCTTTCTTAATACCAGACAATGCTTTTTCAGTGTTGTCCACTCCCTCTGGTATTTTCAACATTGCTCTTAAAGTTGAAGTGTCTATTTGCCACCTATCTACCATCAGAAGGCATTTTATAACAAATCCTCTACATATGCACTTCTTGGATTTCAAAGCTCTTAGCCTTGAGTAGGCATTAACACTATCTCAAGAATCTCAGTCAGATCATATAATCTACAAACTGTTTAAAAGATGTAGATGTTCATTTAGGCTGTGCTGCAAAAATACAATGTTTGCTACATTGCATAGTAATTTTTAGTAATCTCCTTTAGTACTTTTCATTTTGTTTCTTAAAAAAAAACAGTGTAAAATGTTAGACCTGCCAAAGGCTGCCTCTGTATATACTACACAGATCCTATACTCATCCACATCTTTTCTTTCAAAGATTCTCAAAGTGTGACCCTCCAGATGTTGGATTGCAACTCCCACTAACCCTAAACAGTCAGAGATTATTGGAGAACCAAAAGCATCCTGAGGGGGTGCACATTCTCCATCCCTGTGATTTTTAAATAGATATTTGTTACCTGGTATACTCTTAGAGCCCCCCAGGACTAATGTAGACCTTTTCCGGAAAAGAAAAGAACAGTAAGCAGGAAGTTATTTCCTCTCATTTTCTGTAGTTAAAAAAAAGCCCTCTCCTGGATCTAAAATGGCCCAGAAAGGACCCAAAACATACCCAGAATGCTTAGGAAAGGTGTTTGACTGAAAGCACCTACTCATATCCAATAATTTAAGCAGTATTCCTCACGTCTTTGGTGGTGGTACAGTCGGCCCACCACATTTGCGGCTTTGTGTTTTACAGCTTTGATTATTTGTGGCTTTGTTTAACATTCTCTCTAGGAATCTCTAGGTCCTCCAGCTGAACTCTATGGCCAACTTTCGCCAGATGTTGCACTGGAAGACCTACAGATTCCTAGAGAGTATATATCTATAAGCATGTATAGATCTTCCAGCAAATTTCTAGAATTATAGAATCATAGAGTTGGAAGAGACCACAAGGACCATCCAGCCCAACCTCCTGCCATGCAAGAACTCAAAATCAAACCATCCCCAACAGATGGCTATCCAGCGTCTGTTTAAAGACTTCCAAAGAAGGAGACTCCACCACACTCCAAAGGAGTGTGTTCCACTCTTGAACAGCTCTTACTGTCAGGAAGTTCCTCCTAATATTGAGGTGGAATCTCTTTTCCTGTAACTTGCATCCATTGTTCCGAGTCCTGTTCTCTGGAGCAGCAGAAAACAAGCAAGCACCCTCCTCAATATGACATCCCTTCAAATATTTAAACAGTGCATATCCCCTCTTAAACATCTCTTCTCCAGGCTAAACATACCTAGTTCCCTAAGTCATTCCTCGTAGGGCATGGTTTCCAGACCCGTCACCATTTTAGTCGCCCTCCTTTGGGCACGCTCCAGTTTTTCAACAACTTTTTGAATTGTGGTGCCCAGAAATGGACACAGTATTCCAGGTAGGGCCTGACCAAAGCAGAATGCAGTGGCACTATTACTTCCCTTGATCTAGAATACTATACTTCTATTAATGCAGCCTAAAATTGCATTGGCCTTTTAAGCTGCCACATCACACTGTTGACTCATGTTCAACTTGTGGTCCACTAGGACTCCTAGATCCCTTTCAGACGTAGTCTCGTTAAGCCAGGTATCCCCCATCTTATATCTATGAATTTCATTTTTATATATTTATGTATTTGCCCTAAGTGCAGTACCTTACATTTCTCTGTGTTGAAATTCATTTTGTTAGCTTTGACACAGCTTTCTAATCTATTAAGGTCATTTTGAATTTTCATCCTGTCTTCTGGGGTATTAGCAATTCCTCCTAATTTGATGTCATATGCA